ATTAGTCTCACTTTCATGTAATGAGCTAAACAAATGTTCTATAAAACTCAGTTTTGACAAAATTTTGAACATCGTTCTTGTGTTCATTGAGATATTGATTAAAATCTTACTTTTTAAAAGGGTTGTACTTATGTATGCTGAGCACTGTATATACACATACGCAGTCACCCCTCCCTGCTCTGCCCCCTCTAGCACTCACTGGACGAGGCTGAGAAAGGGCAGGAGTGGCTGGCTTCAGCCGCACACTGAGAGGCTAAGTCTGCTGCTAATTAAGCATCTGTGTGGATCCTGACAATATGTTTGGGGTCCTTCCAGAACCTAGAGCGGCTCTGTGACATCAGTTGCCACTGTGCTTTAGCACAAGTAAGTCCACTCATGTGACCCACAAAAGAAGTAGGTCCAATAAAGCTTTGGCCATACTTCTCTTTTAATCAAATGTAGTTAATATTTACTTTTCAGTTTTCAAATAAAGTGATGTTAGGCTAATAAAAGATGCACCGTCGTTGGTTGCTGTGGGATAACACAATATTTACATTTGTACTTTGTCACAGCATAAGCCAGAATATTCTACAGTATGGATTAGGTGTGCGTTGGAATACTCTATAAAGCTGTAATTGTAAGTTTACTCACCATACTGTCTTTGCTGGTGAAATGGACAAGCCAGCCTTCCATCAACACGCAGCTGTTTTTCTTTTTGTTATATCGCACAGACTGTACAACTCTCATAAGGGGAATGAAGTTACTAAATAAATCAGAGACAATTTTAGTAAAGTTCTTACAGAATTATAGGCAATTACCACATAATGATATCAGACATGGTTGTGGACAGTTCAGAAGAAACAATAACTGGATCTCTTTACAAATTCATTAATATGAGAGAAATATCTTTTAAGATATCAATCAAATTTTTTTCTTACATAAATATCTTCCTTAGACTGATTTTTTTAATCTTTTCAGCTGTTACCAATTGAGAGTCCATGTACAATGGATTACAAATATTCTCACCAAATCAACAAGAAACCTGAATTTGCTATTCATTACTAGATCTGAACCTGACACTCACTATCCTGTCCCTGCAGCTAGTCTACTGAGGGTAGCGCATCTTGCTTCTGCATAGTGAAATCAGTGTACCTATCTAATTCTGCTTAGGTACTTGGATATCACAAAAATTAAAATTGAAGAAAAAAAAAAAACAAAAAAACACGCTCCTCTCTTTTTAAGGCTACATAGCTTCACATGTTAAGGGCAATGAGTAGAAGAAATTTATATGCAAGGTGCATGTTACATGCATTTTTATTCCTTTGGAAGATGAGTTTTGCTGAAAAGCAGCACCTCAACAGGGTGAATCTGGCCCAAAAGTATAGTTTAGTTTTGAAAGTAATGGGGAATGGAGGAAGATCTGATGGCAGTTGTTTCATTCATGGCAGCTCAGGTGGGTAAGATGAATTAGTATTTTTTCAGTCTGACTAAAGGTGTTCTACTCTGCAGCGTCAGAAAATTAAAACTGAACTCTGGGCATAAACATTTTAATTTAAATATATTTTTCTTTTACAATGGATTTTATTATAGAAAAGACAACATCAGAGAAACAATCATAAACAAGATCACTGACCAACAAAAATGAGACATACAAGAAAACAAGTTGAGTACACAAGCGCAGTATATGAGGAGGTAAAATAAAATATGTTAATTTGAAAAAATGGCAGGCAATTTGAAACCAATGAATTAGTAAACATAGAGCCAATATTATCACAAAGTCCTCAAACAGCGGGCAGGAGAAAAAAAAACACATGAAGCCTCACTAAGTGTACATTGGTATTCCACACCCAGGGCTCCCAAGGAAGTCCGACAGGTATATACAATATTGCTGGTACTGTTCTTAGAGAAAGAAGTCAGCGCAAATTTCATGAAAACTGTTAGAACAGAGAAGAGAAAAGGAGGAACAAAGAAAGAAAAGACAAGAGAAAAGGAGGAACGAAGAAAGAAAAGACAAGAGACAAAGAAAGGGGGTCACGATGGAAAAAAAAAATCTTATATCGACAAAAGGGACTGGTCAAATCTAGACGATTGGGCTATATCAAGCTAGGGGCGCCAGATCTGCAGAAAGTTCATGTCCTTAGAAATGGCTCTGCTCCAAGCCACCGCTGCTCACGCTGCACTCGGCCTCCAGCGCACAGGGGGCCAAAGGCAGCGTGAGCAGCAGCGGCTTGGAGAAGAGCCATTTCTAAGGAGGATGACTGACATCTATTAGTGCCGATGCTGGGCTGAATTGGGTAATAAGGAGCAGTTCCTTCCCCTTCCCCTGAGCTGTATTGGTCTGTTGGACGTGTGGAGTGATTTCCCTGCTGTATGAGTGTGCCAGTGGGGCCACCTTCTGCCCGTGACCAGATCCATGATGACCACCAGGGTTCTGTTTGGAAATTATTACAACATGCGCATATGACTTGTGCTTCTGGTAAGAGCAAACACATATTAATTATTCAGCACCTGAAGTCACAAGCACTGGAGTCATTCCTAATCCCAGTCACCAGAATCACTTTTGGATTTGAAGTTTTGAAATCGCTCTGATTCTCATCCAATCACGAGTATAATTGATTATGAATTATCGAGCACTTTTGTGGCACTTCGTGAACTGTATTTATTCAAATTGAACTTTATTTATTCATATTCAGAATTACCTTTTGGTGCAGTATTTGTGCACCTATTTTGCTCAGGCTAAGATTTTAGTTAGGATTTTCATGTCGATGTTAATAAGAGAAATTGGCCTGTAATTTGCCCAAGAAGAATGGTCTCGATCAAGTTTTGGGATCATAACCACATTAGCTGTCAGCGAGTTGGAGGAAAAAGCCGAACCTCCCTTCACCGCACTGAACATAGCGGCGAGGTGAGGAGCAAGCACATCAGCTAGTTTCTTATAATACAAAGCCGTGTATCCATCTGGGCCTGGGCGTTTGCTCGTCTTCAAATCCGCAATGCAATGCAGGACTGCCGATGTTTGAATATCACGGTCCATTAAATCTTTATGGGCCTGAGTCAAAGTAGGCAAGGACAGGCGGGACAAGAAATCAGAAATAGCCTGGGGATCAGCCTGCGTGGGGTTCGTATAAAGTTTAGCAAGGCGATACCGTAATTCCTCCGGCACCACTACAGGATTACTAGTTAGAACATTATGTCGAGTGTGTAGAAAGATCGGCTTAGGGTGATGTGTAAAAGAGCGCAATCTATGTGCCAACATGGAATCCGGTTTGTTTGCCTTACTGTACCACTTCTGATGCATCCAGTGCAAACAGCGCTCGGCATCATCTGTAAAACAAAGATCCAATTCCAGGCGAACCTGATCCAACAACCTACGGTTAGAAAGGGTTGGTGCTGCTTAAATTGGGCCGATGCAGAAGCCAGCTTGAATTCAAGCTGATGCTGTTTATATTTCCTCTCTCTCTTGCATCTCGTTGCTACTTGAATAATATGGCCCCGAATGACAGCCTTGTAAGCTTCCCACAGCATCACCAAAGAAGAGACAGAACCCGAGTTAAGCTGAAAATATTCCTGGGATTTGCGCAAGAGTTCCACCTGAACCTCACAAGCAGGGAGTCATTCATAATCCATGAGGAATAGGAAGGTTTACAGAGGAGAGATCGATAAACCACCAAAATGGGGTTGTGATCAGACCATGGTACCGTAAGAATAGAAATGTTTACGTAGCACAAAAGTATGGTCAATTCTAGAGCAAGAATGATGAGAATGAGAATAATGAGTGTAGTCTTTCCCCCTAGGGTGGAGCTCACGCCATAAGTCTACCAAGTCATGGGTTCGCAAAGTATGGGCGAAAGATTTAGCTGCAGCGGAAGGATTAGAGTCCTCCGTGGGGTACTTATCAAGGGTAGGATTTAAAACTAAATTGGAATCCCCCGCCATCAAGAGAGTACCCCGTTGATGGATTGCCAGAAGGGAGCAGATATGTCATAAAAAGGGTCCAGGACTGACATTCGTAACTATATTTTTCAACAGCCACATAGGATATTAAATCCACTTTATGTGCACCAAATGCCTTTGCAGATCCAGATATTGCCTGGTAAAATGAGCAGTAACATCATGACTGTGCTGCATAACACCTGTACAGAGAGCAGAGCTGTGGGAAGGACCCTACATACCCACCTACTACAGGCTGTCAGCTAAAAGCTACAGGAGTGTGGATACAAGACCAATCACCTTGCACAAGAAAAGAGAACAGCAGTGACAGGTCTTGATTACAGGAACCTACACAAATGGCAGAATTCTACAAAGCACACAAAGGCCCCTTTTGCACTAACGGACCGATCGGGTCTGCTTGCCTGTTTTTCAGGTGGACCAAATCAGACCCTTCAGTCTGCTCTATTGAGCAGTAGATGTAACATAGACATGTGTCTGTTTACACCTGCCTACATTCGTTCCGATCCTATCCTCAAAAACCAGATGGATGGGGATCTGTTCCCCATCTGTCTAGCGGAGTGGATGGCAGTTGGGTGTGTATGTACACAGTCCATTTACATTTGACCTGCCTTAGAGAAGAACAAGCTGTGTCTGCTTTGCATAGCAAAGCAGACAAAGACCAGCCATCCACTTGCTCAGTGGGGATCAGTGGACAGATTCCCCATTGAGCAAGCAGACTCTAATGGAGACCCGCCCCGTGTGGAAGGAGACAAAGAGTAACCAACAAGTAAAAATACACTTGCCTCTTGTATTTAGATAATTTTTGCTTATCTGAGAGTTCACTTTTAAGGAACACTTAAAACTATAACTGTAGTTACATAATTTATTTGACTTCATTTACATATATTTCAAAACACAGCATGTTATTATACAATCATTTCTAATATTGAAATAAATAATAAAAAGTGTCGGACGGTGTCATAGTTACCTATCAAACATTGGGTTTTCACATGGACTAACAGTGCTCTCCCTACGCTGAATAAGAGGTTCCTCTTCATCATGCGTACTTCCACTGATGCTGACTGGCCTGTCATTCTCAACCTCATCTTCAGCTTCTTGATTAAAGCTTTCCCCATCTGTGTTGTACAAAAAGACCATTTAAATATGAGTAATGGCTTTCACATTTTATTTTGTTTTAAAGATACTGACCCCTGATGCATGAAGGCAAAAAAACCTTCAGCCTTTACAACCACTTTAAGTATGGCAATCAGAGTTATACTGCTGTAAGGAAGTTGTTGCTGAGAAATAAACATGTACAGTGAAAGACAATGGAAAGAAATCGCCTTAGGATGTTTCTGAGCAGGGCAGAGAGATGGCAGGATATTGCCATAATTAAGGTGGAAGGAAGAAACCACTTTGGCAAGAAAAGTTGGCCTCAGAACAACCTTGTCTTTGGTAATGCAAGCAATGGTTACATACAGCATAGGGTCACCAATTCAGAAACTCTTGTGATGGAGGGACAAGCCAATTGCTCCGAGTTCTTGGATACCGGCTGGGAGACAGGCTTCCCTGAGTGACTAATTTCTCTGTACTAAGAGGGTATTCCAATAGACATGCATCTGTCATCAGAACCTTCCAGTGGGAGCATGGACTTCCCTTACTCCAACACTAAGCTCATGACCTATCATGCCAGGGGAAGTCTGGTATTGCAGGGAATACGATGGTTCGGAGACTGCGCACTCTTGTCAAAAGCACTAGAGTTTCACTGGTCTGCAGTGAAAATGGGCATACAAAACAGTCTTGAAGGAGGTCACTATTAAGCCCAGAACCCTCATACAAAATCGGAGGGCAGTTGGCTGCTGAGTGTGGGATTGGAGGGTCTGGAATGTGCCCTGATGGAGGAAAACCTTGGACATGGCTGTTTCCAGGATCAGGCCTAGACACTCCAAGCTATGAATTCCAGCTCCAACGTCTGGAAATTCAGGATCCACCGGAGTGATGTCCTGAGAGCCAAGCAAGGCAAGGACCGGGGCTAACACCAAAAGCAAAAAAAAACAAACAAACTGGTAATGTTGCAAACCCAAAGCAAAATGCAGAACGTGTATGTGCACTTGGGAAGATGGGATAGGCAAATAAGCATCCCTGATGTCCATGGAGGGAAGCAATACCCGACCTGGCTGATTCTATGTGTAACTACCCAGAGAAGGGGTGGGCAAACTGCAGTCCTCCAGCTATTGAGATATTACAAGTCCCATCATGTCTCTGCCTCGGGGAGTCTTGTGGCTGTGAGTTTTGCAATGCCTCATGTAGTTCCACAACACCTGGGGGGGCGTAGTTTTTCCCACCCCTGACCCAGAGAAAAGTGTTGAGAAAATTAAGATCCATCCAGTATAGGGCGGATGCTCAATTTGACCTTGAAAATGCTGAACAGATTAGTATATAAACCTTGGAACAGTTCCTCTGGGACACTGGCTCCAAATACTATATATTGACCCAAATGTTCGAAATGTCCCAGGACCAGATAGCTGCAATGGCAGGCAGATGTACCCCCATATTAGATGAAGACTTGTTCATGGAAATGTAGAACTTGGGGTCCTGGCCTTATGGCAGAACTGAGTTTCAGACTTTATCTTTGACTTGGAGGCCTTCAAGAAGCTAAAGGAATTTTCTTTAATCTTAGGAGAAGAGGGTTTTCCATAAAAAAAAAAATCACTTTTTTTAATCTGGGGCAAGAGAGTACTTCCTGCCCAGTAACCTACTTAATAAAAATTGTCCAGGGATTCACCAAACAGGCATTCCCCAGCAAAGTGGATACATAATAATTCTTGAACTGAAGCTCTGCAGATGAAAATTTGAGCCAGAGGGTCCATCCTGGATATTTGACTAATACCCCCTAGCCAGTCAACACAATAGAAAAGGGCCACAGGAACAAAATCCAGTTGTCAGAGAACAGAAAGATCTGTTAGGATAGAACCAGGATCTCGAGACATGTCCTTGAACCAGACAGCTATGGCCACAATGGCAGGTTACAGGGCAGGATCTGCAAGTAAAACAGGGCCTTAGAAGACCACCAGCCTACTATCCAGCCTCTGCTACAATGGAGGAAGAGAAAGAGCACTCTGCACATGCATGGATTTTCAAGCAGTGTATTCATGCTGGTTCACACTGGAATGCAGTGCAGGAAACAGGTTTTCCAGGTGGTTTCCCACACCGTGTTGAAAATGCATGCATCTGCAAATCTGCAGCGGGTGTCAGTGAAAAGTTATTAACACCCCAAACGCAGGTAGTAAACAGAGTGTGTTTGCCTGCACCGAATCTCATGGTACCAAAGTACCATGCAATCTGGTTGCAGTGCATTTTTAAAAGTAGTGCATGCGCTACTTTGGTGTGATGCAGTGCGACTTCAGCCCATTCAAATGAATTGGCTGAAATGCACTGCACTCAAATCGCACAGAAACACAAGTGCATTCCTGTGGGATTCCTCATGTGAACCAGCTGTTAGTTCCCTTTTTCATTTTTTCTGAGCAGGGGGAACTAACACTATAAGTTAATGTAAATTCAGCTAGTGTAAGTTTTTACTTGTTATCAGCCTCTAGCAATAGGATGGGGGTGGGATATGACCTAAGTTACTTTACTGCAGCAAAGAAAAACTAGGTCTCCTGCCCTGCCAGACAGGGTCATTCTCTGTGACAGTGCTATGCAACTATCAAGAAAGGATAGACAGAAATATAAGTTTAGATGTTTCCCTACAGTCATGTGAAAACCTGTTTGAAGTGGGCCTAGCCTCATATATTCTTTCATAATAACTAAAAAAAGCGAATTATGTACAGGAATAACACTTAAAGGTATGTATTAAATCGCTTTGAGAGTTAAATACTCCTCTTCACAATGCCTTAATCTTCCTTTGTCCCCAGAAGGCTGTCCCCATCCTTGTTCGGAATTAGCCAGGGTCAGCATCCACTTTTTAAACCAAGACTCTGGTTCAAGTATGACACATTTATGTAAATCTTTGCTCCTGAACAGTATTTGTAATTTTTTTTGGTTGCATGTATACATCAGCCCCCCCCCACTACCTGTCACCATCGTGACTGGATCTAGGGGGGTGCTGGGGTGGGCTATGCCCCCCAAAATTTCAGCTGCACCCCCCCAGGCAACCCATGGACTTTGTTCAACAAGAGAAGCTGTCTGCAGCGGCTCACACAACACACTTCCCCCTCTCCTTCCCTGCACTCACAGGAGAAGAGAGGAGATCGATGTGCACGGCCTCCTACTGCCCCTCTCCTCCTGTCTGCCCCACACTCAAATTCATGGCCAGTGCTGTGCCTAAGATGTATGGGTGGGAAATTTGAAAAACTGCAGCCAACTACATGGTAGCTGCCAGATTGATTCCTCTGTCTGAGCCTGCAGAGACCAGCCTGGGTGAGTGAGCTGAGCTCTGCACTACAGCTGACCTCTCTCCATCTCCCTACCTTCTCTCCCCCATCTGTCTCCCCTTTCCCCCTTTTATTTTCCCACCTACTATCTGTCCCCTTCCCCCTCCTATCTCCCTCCCCTCTCCCCCCTCCTATCTCCCTCCCCTCCTATTTTCCTCCCTTCTCTCCCCCCTTTTTTCTCCCCCCCCCCTTCTCTCCTCCCTCTACCCCCCCCCCCCCCCTTCTCTCCCCATCCCCTCTCTACCCAATCGGTCTCCCTCCCCCTCTCTGTTCATGTTAACACACAGGGACAACTTTTATTATTATTGGGGATGGCTGGCAATCTGAAAGCTGGATAAACTGATGAAGTTATTACTCACAAGTTTGTGATTCTTTTGTTTAAACCCCTTCCTGCCCAGCCCAAGCATCCCTTTAGGGGATTGTTCACATGAAATTTGGTCTCTGAAGAGCGATCTGCTTTCAGATCACTCTTCAGAGAACAGTTGGCAGGTAGTGAGATGTATAACTTCCTCACCAGCTGCTTTAACCCCTAGAATCCCATACTAGTGCACTGCAACCACCTGCATTGTACACAGTTGTGGGGTGCTTGCAGAACAGCCTCATTCACTTGCATGGGTCACATTCAGCAGGTACTGTGCCCACAGAAAGCAACAGAGGACAGAATTTCTTCAATGCCCACAAAACATCACACTGGCAGTATGTGTACACCCCAACCCTGTGTTGCCAACCATCCATACATTTACAGACAGTTTGTGTAAAACAGACACTTTTCTCCTATCTGCAAATGTTCATGGACAAGAGAAAAGTGCCTGTAAAAAATCCCTTAGTCATGGGCTCTGACTGCCAGACTCTGATATAAGTAGATAAAGATAAGGAGAAACCTGTTGAACCGAGTGGAACTTTGAAGGCATAATGCATACAGTAAAATTATGAAATCTTTATTTTTATCGTAATGTACATATACTGTATATAAAACTATGGCATAACATGCCATTTGGACAAAATAATCATATTGACATAGTATCATATCACCATTGAAGGATGTCAAAGGATTGTTTTACAATAATCCTAATAAGTTACAGAGATATATGATATATCTACTTCTCTGTGAATGTGGTTGCTTTTATGTGGGAAAGGCAAAGTTGGAATTTTGGAGATGAGCTTATAGACACATAAAAAGTATGTGAACAGGTGACCCTGAACTACCTTTAGGACAACATGTTCTTATGGTACATAATGGCCAATTTCCAAGGATCAAATTTCTCATTCTTGACCAAGTGCATCCAGGCTCCAGAGGGGGAGATTGGAACAAGCTGTTATTACAGCTTGAACTCAGAAGGATTTTCCATCTGCATGCCACTTCCCCCCTGGCTTGAATGAGTCTGTTAATTTTAGGCCTTTCCTACAGGGGTTTGTGTCTGGGGGTATGGAGAAATAAAGGCCCCCACTTATTGTCTATTTTGGGGTTTGAGAGTTCAAAGCTCTGTGTTATGTTGTATGATGTTGCATCAATGCCCTGTGTGGGTGGGATTGTATATTTTATTGTTGCTCTGTGTATCTGTTCAAGACCTTTTTGGTCTGTGTCTTTCCTGGCTTTATATTCTGTATAGTATTTTGTACAATTTTTTTTTATATAATGTTAATGTAATATGCTATGCACAAGGTTTGTACAGTGCTGATTGGCGATATATTCAACGTGTTTTTTTCGGTTGCTTCCTCAGCTATGGAGCCTGGGTCCTCTCCTTTCAGCGCCCAGCACGCTGTGGCTGCACCACTGGCCCCTCTGGGTCTGGTGAGTGCAGGTAAGCTTGTCTGCCGTGGCCTGGGGTTTTTGGTTTCTTTGTCACTCCCCCTTGATTTGGTGGCCGAGCCTGTCTTCTCAGCTTGTCGGGGGTGTGCCGATGCATGACATCACTCCGCACGATGTGGCATGGTGGCGCTGCACACCGGCGCATCAGGGGGTGGAGCCCAGTGATGTCCCCCATTGAGCCAGCTTGGGATCAGCATCTGGGCACCATCTTCCCTCCCCCATTCCTTTTGGGAGCGGTTTATCACTTTCAGGACTTCCAGTTAGGGCCCTATATAATTGAAGCTTCCCTGTCACATTTGACAATCCTTATCCAGAGGTGCTATTTTGGATTTCCCTCGACTATGTCATGATACTATTCGTCATGGTAAGCACTGCATGTTTTGTTGTACCTAATGGCAGGTTTATCTGCCTTGAGGAATTTGGAAATTTTGTTTGTATGCCTCTTCTTGGGTTTGGAAGATATTTACTGGTTTTCTTATTTTGGTTTTAAAGGGGTACATAGTATGACTGAACAGAGATCCGTGGAGACCTATGCACATATGCCTTATGATCTATTTATATACATGAAAATAATTTTTTCTGGGAATATCGAGATCTCTGATAAGTATAATGGTGGGTGCCCCCCTTTTGAGTCACTTTGTGGCCCCCTTTTTCTTCCATTATGTAGGGCACATATGGTGATTGTCATTATTATGTAAATTATTTTTTGTAGTGATCTGGGTGGCCCCTGTGTTCTGTTCTGGTGGGATCCTTAGGAGCCCAGAGCCTGCAGGCGCTTGGCCGGGAGGTGGTGATAACTCAAAGTCTTGCTTTTAATGTGATTGAAAATTTATTTACGTTTTGGATCTTCTCATACTGTGAGTATATCCATATATTTGGAACCAGGCAGATACCTATTTTGGTCATATGCAATATGTAATAAATAAATGTATTTTCAATCCGACAGATTATATCACCCTTTATACAGTGTTTGCCATCCCTGAGGAAGGAGTTCTATTACTCAGAAACGCGTCGGATCCTTGCAGAATCATCTCTGTAACTGATTAGGATTATTGTAAAACAATTCTTTGACATCCTTCAATGGTGATATGATACTATGTCAATATGATTATTTTGTCCAAAATGGTGTGTTATGCCATAGTTTTATATATATGTACATTATGATGAAAATAAAGATTTAATAATTTTACTGTATATTTTATGCCTTCAAAGTCCCACTCAGTTTAGGGGGTTTCTCCTTTATCTAGTTCTATAGGGATGGTAACAGTCTATCAGGAATTTTTCTTTTCTTCCTTCAAACTCTGATTTAAAGGGGGCACTCTGCTGGACTCTGATGTAGGGGGCACATTGCTGGAATTTGATGTAAGGGGGCACTCCGCCAAACTCTGATGTAAGGGGGCACTCCGCCAAACTCTGATGTAAGGGGGCACTCCGCCAAACTCTGATGTAAGGGGACAATCTGCTGGACTCTGATGTAAGGGGGCACTCTACACTCTGCTAGACTCTGATAAGGGGGACTCTGCAGACTGTAATGTAAGGTGGTTTCACTTTGGGGACACTGATGTAAGGGAGGACTCTGATGAATGTGGCTCTCATCCTGACTGCTACACTCCATATGTTGTTTTTTTTACTTATTCTGACCCCTGCACTCTGTACATTATGCATAGATATACATAGACCTGACCAAGGTGTTAATTTTCTCTACAGTTGCTGGTTCTAATGGAGTTCTTCTTTAAGGGAGGCTCAGTAATTACTCGATTCCACAAATTCAGTGTGGATGGGGAATCACTCCCACTGAGGTAATGTGTTCTGACACCGAAGAGACTTCAATGTCACCAGAATACACTGATCAGTGCTGCCAGCTATAGCCAGCAGTGCTAATTGCGCAGAAACTTTCCTAGAGGCGATTGTACAGAAGTCAATTGGTAGATTGACTTCTGTACAACCAGCCTGCCCTTACATGGATTAAAATTCAACCGGTCCCTACTGAAGCAGGTGAATTTTGATCCAAGTATGGCTGCCTAGGGCAAAAATATCATTTTTGTGTGCATAAAAAAACATATGGAATGTAAGCAATTAAAGAAAAAAAATGTTCCTTTGTCCTGAGGTTTATTTGTGTCTTTGGGCTGATCGGTTGTGGCACGGTATTTAGTATTTTGTGGGTACGAGGAGTGCGGTATAGGTATGCATTGTATACATCAGGCACAGATTCTGTTCAATCCCTATTTAAGACCCTCCCACTGACGAGACATAAATATATTTCTCTGTTCTTTTCCAGGGTGCCCCATGTCTTTCATGATCCCAGTCTTGCTCACATTTTGTCATCCTGTTTTGACTTTTTAATTGTAAATCCAGTCAGATTATTCATTATTATTAATATTGTCTATGTTTCCATATTGTTTATACTGTTTAGAGGCTAAGTTCGCCTTTAAAACCAAATTATGTGTCCTGTGCACTGCTGACCCCTGTACACTGCCAGACTGACCCCTGTATACTCTCCTGCTGACTGAGCGTCCTCTGCCATGCTGACCCCCTGCACACTGGCCTACAAACGGCTGACCCTTGCAATACACCACCATACTGACCCCTGTCCTCCACCTGCTGACTACCTGTCCTCTGCCCTCATGACCCCCTGTACACTGCCCTAAAAACTGTGGAACCAGGCCTTTGCTCTAATAATTTTAGTCCTCTGCCCTGCTGAGCCTCAGTATACTCCACTACAGATTCTTGTTTTTTTTCCTCTGCCCCCTTGACATTTTTTACTGCACCCCCATATCAGACTGGCTAGATCCGGCCCTGGTCACCATGTCAATTTCCAGACAGTTTCAGCAGTCCCAGGGATTGATTACTGGGCTGGAGGAGAAAGAAAAGTATCCTTTCAGACTTGGGACAGTCATTTGGTATGAGCTCAAAAGACAGCTAGTTTATAGCATTTGTAATAGTACTTTTGCTGTATATTATGACACACAATTTGCTTTATATTTTAAAAAAATAATTTACCACAAACCACTAATCTGAATTTCAGTAGTTTTTAGTAAAACAAAAGACTGTTGAGGCCTGGTTCACACTAGTGTGACTTCTGATGTGACTTTAGTAGCACAGAATCGCAAGGGAAATTTCATTGTTTTCAATTGTGCTGGTTCTTATCAATGCGACTCAGAATGGTGAAAGTTTCCAATAGGTTCCTGTGCTACTTTGGTGCATTTTACAGTGCAACTCGGCCACACAGAATATGCCAAGTTGCATCAAATTCACACCATGTAATAACTTTGTAAATTGAATCAAAGTCGCATTACAGTAGTGTGAACCAAACCTAAAAATAAAGCATATCTGTTATAGATCGTTAAACAATAATATTGGGGCTCGTTCACACTATGTGCAGTGCCCTGCATTTTTTCACACTGAAAGACATAAGACACCTCTAGGGCACATAGAAAAAAACTTGATTCCTATTTGCTGCATGTCTGCATTTTTCCTGCAGCAAACTAGATGACACCGTGCAGAAGTGCCATGTGCTGTGACAGTTCAAATAAAGTAAAAAATAAGTGTGCTGTGCTGTAACGTGCATTGCACCACATTATGCTGGAGCTGAATGGCAGCTGCTGCCCACACAGTAAAATGGTGCGTTTTACAGTACGGGCCAGTGTGAGCCTAGCTTTGAACAATCTTGTCAACATTACCTTCTCCATCAGTATTTGACACTTCTCCGAGACATTCATCAGGCACATCTGGCACACACACCGCCTGTGACAGTTAAATCTGCAATCTGTATAGAAAAAGTGTGCTTAATTAACTTCTTTTACAATGAATGACTTTAATTTGCTGCACATGAGAGATTATATGAAAAATGCAGTAAAAGCAATTTTCCTGTTTTAAAGTGTTAGTTCACCATTTCAGAATAAAATGTAAAGGTGAACTGACACAATACAACCTCCCCACCCCAGGTCCCCGCTGTACTTACCTCCAGGGATGCTGAGCTGTCAGTGCCCATGCAGCCAGTCCAGCAGTTTGGGGATTCTCCCTCTTCTCTGTGCAGTGCTTCCAGACAGACCAGAGCAACTCTGATTGGTCAGCGCCATCACAGGGCATCATTCAGATCTGTTCTGGAAGAGTTGAGTCTTGTCCCTCTTTAATCCCTCCTCTCTCTGCATGAGTCACTTCTAATGGGTTAAGCCAACACTGCAGCCTCCAAGGAGACCCCCCTCCTCCAGCTTACAGCAGTTGACTGAGACAGAGACCCTCAGATCTAGGTTTCTCTGGGCTTGTGGAGCTCTCAGCTTACACTCAGCTCTGTGCTCTAGTTCTGCAGTGTGTGTGATGCCAGCAGTGCTTTCCAATGTTGAGAGAAATAATTTAATGTGTGTGTTGTAGAAGACTGTACAAGACAGATAAACAGGTACAACTTATATAGGAGGATTGGTTTCATCTCTGTGTATCATCTTAGGCTGGTCACTGTGGTGGGTATATGTAAGGGTTTACTACCAACTTAAGTTCCTTCCCTTGTTCGCATTTTGGTACAGTAAAATGCATTTGAAACTGCATGCAAAATGCAGTATGAAATCTGTGCCATTATAGTCAATGTCCCTGGAACTACAGGAAGGAAACACAAATATGACAATACTATTGACTAATGTATAGGAACACATACCTCTATTCATCCCATAAAAAAAAACTTAAAAATTATTTCAAGCATGTATAACTTTTGATTTCAGTGGGCTTTCTTACACCCAACAAACAAAGGCAAAGTAGTTCATGCACCTTTTAATCAGCTTTGTCTGTTTTTATAATTTTTTTGTTTTGTTTTGTACAGTATCCTTGAAGCAAAATCTGGAGATAGCAAAGCAATCAAATCTATATTAGGTACCAGGGGCGGACTGACCATTTAGGCACTCAGACACTGCCCGAGGGCCGGGGGTCAGTAAGGGGCCCCATGAGATTCTCCTGGTACCTTTTAAAGGCTTTTTTGGGAGTGGTTTGAGTGTGGGAAAGGACACAGGGGCCCCATGATTTCCTATTGCCCGGGGGCCCCATGAGTTGTCAGTCCGCCCAGTAGGTACCTTAACAGCTATAACCAGCTTTACATTTAAAAATTATTATTATACAGAATTTATATAGCACCAACAGTTTGCTAAGCGCTTTATAATATAAAAGGGAGACAATACAGCAACAATACAGTTCAATACAAGAGGGTTAGGGGGGCCCTGCTCCTTGGAGCTTACAATCTAATATTGCCATTCTTCTTTTACCAGTTTTAACAAGGAATCCCACAAGTCACCAAAAGTCTGCTGCCCCATGTAAGAAGTGTGTAAATGCCTGTGTTTTTACATATATAATCAGTTTAGGACATGAAGGGGTTTATTTACTAAAGCTGGAGAGTCCAAAATCAGACTCCCTTCTGCATAGAAACCAATCAGCTTCTAACCTCAGCTTGTTCAATGAAGCTTTGGCAATGAAACCTGGAAGCTGGTTGGTTTCTATGCGGAAGGGAGTCTGATTTTGGACTCTCCAGCTTTAGTAAATAAACCCCGAAGTAACAACATCAAATGAGTGGAAGTCAAACAAGCAAAAGGAGCACTGACATACGCACAAAACATTTTTATAGATTTTGTGTTTGGACAGGCCACGAGTTCAACCCTTTCAAAGTATAGCAAACAATAACACTGCATTTCCTGGCTTCTGGACTGTGGTCAGGTGGCTTATGCTGGCAATACACGTATAGATTTTCTCACGAGAATAATCGTATGAACATTCCTATGAAAATTCTTTCTATCTTCGGTGACTGGACGAATGTCATTCAAAAATTGTCTTTTGGTTTTAACACTCAATTTTAAAATGAATGTACAGTAATGTGTGAAGGAAAACCGCATACACTGTCTGAAAATTTGTTCGATCGAGAAAAGTTTTCCTTTCTGCCCCTTTTTTTTCCCCATCACTGCGGTTGAAAATGAACATCGATTTGACCTCAGTAACGATCAGAAAATCAAACAAACAAATTTTCTTAAAACGGAAATTTATCTAATGTGTTAGATTTATGTAAAGTAATGTATGGCCAGCATTAGAAGGGCTAATCAGGCTAATCATGGGGAGTTTCTATGTGCCGGCTGGACTTTTCTAGAAATGACACCATCCTATCATTGCAAGCAGGTTAGAATGGTTATAGGATGTGTCCATACAAATTTAAACAACTATTTTTTTAGGGCAGTTATCCAAAAACAAATATTTTTAGGCTGTCAGCAGTGGTGTCCACAGAGACCATAGAGTGCCCATAGAGATACAACTGTTCCAAATCTGAACAGAACCAGCAGAATTATGTGACATATATCTATGGCTGTAAATAACCAAATTCTGGCCCATTAAAAGATTACACTATGGTAAACATAACACTTGCTAAAAAGAAAACCCACACAGTTGTTGTAAATGGGAAAAATCTAAATCTGTGTTCACTTCAATCATTGAATTGTCTGCAAGTAAATGCCTTTTTCTTGCCTTTGTCCAATTGAATTTTCAGGCCTCATGCACACAGAACATTAAAATTAAAAAAAAAAAACTCTCCTAGAAGCTTTCTTCCTGGCAGCAGTGTTTTTGCAGAAAAACGCCTGACGTTTTTACAAGCATTTAGGTGCATTTACAAGTGCCAAACGTTTGGGCGTTAATTAATTTCATTGGCTGGAATAATAATTTATTCTGGACATTGAAATTAATTAACGCTTAAGCGCTAAACGTGCCTAGCATTAACACGTGCCTAGTGTAAGACATGTCAAGCAATTTTCGGCCAAAACGCTGCTGCTCCTGCATACACTGGCCCTGGGTTTTTTTCCTGCTGGTAAACGCTACTGCTACTAAAAGCTTGTAAATGACTATGTGTGCATAGACACATAGGATAACATGGAGGGCCATTTGGAAGCACTAAAAAAAGTTATGCAGACACCTCTACAGTAAAAGTGGCTACAAAAACACCCTGTGTGCATGAGGCCTCAAACTGTATGGAAAAAAAAAAAAACTTACTTTTTCTCATAGAAATTCTATATAAAAGGGGGGTGGGACAAGCATGCAAGACTAATGACCACCTAAACTTGAAGCTCTGTACACCAGCGGGCTCTGGACAAACAATGCAACATCCCAAGGCAAGTGGGACACCATCATGACTTCTTCTGGCATTTTAACCTTCAAATGGAAAGACGGTCGTTGGCAGTAGAAACTGACAACCTTCTGAAGAGCAGACAAAATGATGCCAAAATTGGAAAAACTATATAATGAACATATAAGTAGGCTACCATTGTTATCCCCTTTCTCAAAATGCTATTTGCCTGGCCGTCTCTGTCTTCCAAACTTTTTAGGTCACTGAACGAGAATAAATATCCAAGCAAATAGTCACAGTGAAGTAAGAATGCCTGATCTGCACATTTTCCAGATAGTAATGACCCAGATAGTAATGATGCCATTGATTACCTTCACTGCCACACAACTAGAATTTCTATAAAGGAAATGCAAGCACTGGCAGACCACATATTTCTATTAGTACAAGTTTATTTTAATGTGCGCAGACTGGTGTATTAGTCTTTTTATTTTATTGAGGAGACTGTGCTAACCCTAATTCTTACAACAGCTGCTGTTCTAAGTGCTTGATGCAATTGACTGCTGCTCCCATAAAACCTGATAAGAGGAACTGATTCAGCCATGAAAACTGATCATGTTCAGAATAAAATTGTTATGGTAGGTCATAGCTAAGAAGTCTATACCTTTGCACTGCATGCCCTGTCTGAACAATCCTTTCAAAAGTCGTCTACAGTGCTGGCAGATGGTAGGACGTGTATAGGTATGAACCTGGAAGGTGTGGGGAACCTTTAACCGGTTCATGTCCTGCCAATCCTTCCATATTGGACGCCCACCGACTGAAGGAATGCGAGATTTCTTGAAAACCTGTAATGAAGATAGTACCTTTAAAACAAATGCTTGGTTTTGTGAGTTTGTAATATTTTGTTAATTTAAATGTCATCTAGACAAGCTTGTTGGCAAACAAACCAAATTGTACCATAGAAATCTTTATTTATACCTCAGGTCATGATAGTTACACAATTCCTTTATACCAACATCCTGGTCAGTAGCAGTATATCAAGTTAGCAATAAAATGGATCAAATGTGGAGCAACAATGATGAGCTTCTAAAGAGAGGACCCAAAATGTTTCTTTTTACAGGGGATGTCTGAGCTTTGCATCTGTAAAATGTAATGACAGAAGTGACCAGCACTCTTCAAATGACAAATTCAATATTGTCTCTGTATAACCAAAAATCAGACATCATGGGGTTTATTTACTAAAGCTGGAGAGTCCAAAATCAGACTCCCTTCTGCATAGAAACCAATCAGCTTCCAGGTTTCATTGCCAAAGCTTCATTGAACAAGCTGAGGTTAGAAGCTGATTGGTTTCTATGCAGAAGGGAGTCTGATTTTGGACTCTCCAGCTTTAGTAAATAAACCCCCATATATCCATCAACTTCTTCCTGCAAATCCAATCTTCCTATGCACTGATCTTCAAACAAATAAATGTGATATAGTGTAGTATACTCAATACACCATGCCTCAAATCCTGTTCAATGTGCTCACATGTATAATAAATATCTGTAAGTGTATTTGTTCACCAGTGTTCTCTTTTATCTACCTTACCCTTCATATACTTGGTGTATATTCAATCATTATTCACTTCAACTCTGTCTCCTTGTACTGAAATGATCGTCTCACATGAAAATCCACACGGTTTTACCCAAAATACAAAATACCAATATAGGGCAATACAGTTTTCTAAAAATCTCTCCCAGAGATAGAAAGCCACTCACATTATAATACAGTGTATTAACGGTGCATTCTAGTTCATACCCATAGAAGGATCCACCAAGTGTATCACACCTCACCAAAGATACTCCAAGCTCCTTACTGAACTTCCTATAAACTGTGATTTTAATAAACCATTCCACCTTCTTCCTGCTCCTTATCTTTTGGGGACCATTCGTACAAGCCACTCATTATAAAATATTAATTGTGCATATCCATTAACACCCATAGAAGAATCCACCAAGTGTATAACCTCGCCAAAGATACTTCAAGGTCCTTACCGAACTTCAAATAAATTGTGTTTTTAATAAACTTGTAACCACCTGTAACTACTTCCAAAATGGCCGCATTTCCAGTGTGCGCAATTCCACGTCTGACGTCACTTCTGACCGGTTTTGTCATCAAGACTTCTTCCCAGGATGTCTGGGCAACATCGGAAGTGACTTAAAGCAGAGTTCCACCCAAAAGGGGAAGTTCCGCTTTAAAGATTGGTCCCCTGTTCCCCATTAAGGATTGGGGGGGGGGGGGGGTACCCGAATGTGACAGGAACCCACTCCCACTGTGATCGGAAATGGAAGTTGTCCTCCTACCCTCCCTCCCTGAAGTCTTGTGGGACATGTGACAGGTCCCAGAAGACAACGGGGCCATTCAGAAAGCGCAGTGCTACTCGCGCATGCGCAGTGGGCACCCGGCTGTGAAGCCACAAGCTGTTACAAGCGGGTGCCCACACTGAAGATGTCGCTGCCTGGAATACAGGACGGAAGGTGAAACGACAGGGGCAACACAGGATCGTGGGACAGTGAGTGGCTGTTTTTTAAAAGTCAGCAGCTACAGTTCTTGTAGCTGCTGACTTATTTTTTTACAGAGTGAGTGGAACTCCACTTTAAGATGCCGGAATTGACGCAATCGTGTATGCTGGAAGCGCCGCAGCAGCCATTTTGGAAGTGTTTACAGGGCTTCTTTTTTTTTTTTTTTTTTTTTTTTTTTTACACTGAATGTTTGTAAGTGCATATATTTTTAATACATTTATGGTTTTATAAGGATTTACTGCACTATGGCAGCTGTATGATATCTCTAGCATGGGAACCCTGGAGAGAAACTGGAGTTAATTAGGGGACTGTTGAAAGTGGAGTAGTTTGGTGGAAAGTGATTTGAAAGCCACCAATCTGGTAAGGTGCATAGAATGACACTATTAAACACTTGAATGTAGTGGATCTGGATCATTTAAAGGTACATGCACTTTTTTGGTGGTATGTAAATGTGAATAGTTTTAAGTTTAAAGGATAAGTTCCACTTTTGACAAAAAAAAAATCCACTTTTTTGCAGGTAAAAAAAATGTGCATTTATTATATTTTATTGCAGGATCAGTAATATCACTGATGCCATACAGGTCTTCTGGAGACCTGTCAGTGTATCTGTGTGCCTGTATATCCCATACGTGCAAGCAGATACACTGACAGGAAGAATCAATGAACTACCACGTTGTGGTTAATTGAGAACTACAAGCCAACAGCCGCTGAGGCTGTTGGGACTTGTAGTTCATTCTTTCACAGAACTCCATGAATGAATGATGCAGTTGTGTGAGCAGAGCCCCACATGGCCATGCTGTTTTTAAAAGTGACAGCTTGTATGGGGAACTTACTATACTGCTGTCACAGGGAGGGGGGGATTTGGGAGTGGCTGAAGCATTGGGAACATGTTACAATGCCATAAACAAGAGGAACATGTAACATGTTCCCAAAGGTGAACTTTACCTTTAATAAGCAAGTGTTGTTTATAAGCGATATGTTTATCAGTGTGACTTGTGCGAATGGTCCCCAAAAGATAAGGAGCAGGAAGAAGGTGGAATGGTTTATTAAAAATCACAGTTTATAGGAAGTTCAGTAAGGAGCTTGGAGTATCTTTGGTGATGTGATACACTTGGTGGATCCTTCTATGGGTATGAACTAGAATGCACCGTTAATACACTGTATTATAATGTGAGTGGCTTTCTATCTGGGAGAATTTTTAGAAAACAGTATTGCACTATATTGGTACTTTGTATTTTTTGGTAAAACCGTGTGGATTTTCACGTGAGACGATAATTGAAATACCAGACACAAAGAGACACAGAGCTGAAGTGAATATAAGAATAACTGAGTGGATATACACCAAGTATATGAAGGGTAAGTGTAGATAAAAAAAAAGAACACTGGTGAACAAATACACATATGGTTATTTATTATACAGTAAATGTGAGCACATTTGACAGGATTTGAGGCTCGGTGTATTGAGCATACTACACTATATTACATTTCTTTTTTTGGAGATCAAAGCATATGAAGATTGCATTCACAGAAAGAAGTTGATGGATATACAACGTCTTATCTTCGACTATGCAGAGACAATACTGAACTTATTTTAAGAGCGCTAGTCACTTCTATCATTGCCATCTCTTGCTGTGAGGGGAACAGATTGACTCCAGCTGCTAAGGGAAGGATCATTGTTCATTACTTTTTCTTTTTTTTTCTTTAAAACACAACAACAAAAGGGAAGGGGGTGTGGTTCCAGCACAGTGTTTAACCACTTGCCCTCCAGAGGATTTACCCCCCTTCCTGACCAGGCCATTTTTTGCAATACAGCGCTGCGTTACTTTAACTGACAATTGTGCGGTCATGCAACGCTGCACCCAAATGAAATATATGTCTTTTTTTTTCCCCACAAATGGACCTTTCTTTCAGTGGTATTTGATCACCGCTGCGGTTTTTATTTTTTGTGCTATAAAAAAAAAGACCAACAATTTTGAAATAAACCCAAGGTTTTTGACTTTTTGTTATAAAACATATCCAGTAAAAATATGTAAAAAAAATCAAATTTCGTCATAAATTTAGGCCAAAATGTATTCTGCTACGTCTTTGCCAAAAAAAAAAAATCCCAATACGTGTAAATTAATTGGTTTACTTGAAAGTTATAGCATCAATCAATGGCGGTATATATCCCCTGGAATTTTTTGTTTTATACTGGGTAATTATATATGTGGGACTGTGGCAGGCATTCTGCCACTGGGGTGGAACTGACTAACTGCCACTGACATCCCCAGTGACACTAATACAGTGATCAGTGCTAATAAAAAGCACTGACACTGTACCAATGACACTGAGCAAAAAGGGGTTAACATCTGGGGAGATCAAAGGATTAAGGATGTGCTGTTTTACTATGTGCTATGTGTGTTTTACTATGTAAACACAGAGCAGCATGCTGGTGCTGACAGGGGAGAGATCTGTGTTGTTTACATACAGACCTCTCCCCTGTCAGTGTTCCTCGGCGATCTCCAGGTGCCGGCGGGGAATCTCCGGCCGGGATCCGGTTATTGACAGCTGTAGCCGCCAACAGTGGCGCAGGTAGGGCGGCGCACGCGCTCATTACCCAAAACATCATAATCTCGTATATACGTGATTTTGCACAGCCCTACCTCCCTGTAGTAGTAGTTCTGCTATAGGGCGGTCGGGAAACGGTTAAAAATATTCATCTGTAAACGTAACCATTATACTTTCTAAGCCTGCTTCTACAACTTACCTGCTGCTCAGAGTTGTGCCCTCCTAGGTCCTCCAGGCTTCCTCCAGTTGGCAAAGTCACTGATCTAGGCTTGGTGATAGAACTTGCTCCAGTGAATGAGCGGCTGGACAAGTGACTTCTTTTAACACCTCTGCAGTTATTGGGTATCTTAAAGGCACAGCGCTTATGATAATTCAGTCCACATCCTGAAACAAATACAGGAGTAGCTTAGCAAATAACTACTAAATAATTTGTATAGAACTTAATTCCTGCAACCATTTTACTATGTGCATATAAATCTGAACAATGAACTTATATTATTTGTCCCCTTTTGATCTGTTAAATATATTATTGAAAGTGTTTTGTTATATCTGTTTGAGAAGTGCAAAGAAAAAAAAAAGCAAAAAAAAAAAGCAAAAACCGAAACAAAATGAGAAACACAATAATAGAAAACAATATGGCAATGGATGACACCACATAATGCAATTTCAGTCCAGAAGGGGCACTTTGTCATCAGCCCTCAATAGGATATTAGGATCTCAATCTCAGTGCTCCTCTTTTAGATCACCAGGTTTTTCAGTGCTCTTAAGAGGTAAAACAAGGGAACATATGCATGTATTGCAGAGATGTACCATGTTTTTTTTTCTCATCTCTTCCGACATACGCTTTAAAGAAACAATAGCTATTTTGTCCTTAGCACCCTGCATTAGCCATACTTATGACATTAGCCATTTGATGGTTTGACAGTTTAATAGAGAGCACAAGCAACTGTGACAATTATTCATAGCGTGCCTTGAATGTACCAATTTTAGGAAACTAAAAGCATGATATTGTTGAATAGGCAAGCCATTCTTTTCAGTAACAATATAATTTCTTGCAAATACATTGCTTAGAGGGTTGATGTTCAATGAATAATGTTCAATGTTCAGTCTAAACATTGTGAAAAGTTTAATTATTATTTACCTATTTAAAAATAGGAGGAATTTTGGGTCAGGTGAGCATGGTAACATAAAGGAATCCTAATTACTACTGAATTTTCCCTGGTCTTTTTGTTTGCGTTTCACTGTTACCTTAAACTATTTTTTTATGTCTAAGGTCATCATATACACTCACCAGCCACTATATCAGGTACACCTATTCAATTGCTTGCTAACACAAATTGCTAATTAGCCAATCATATGGCAGCAACTCAATGCATTTAGGCATCTAGACGTGATGAAGACGACTTGCTCAGAGTCAAAGTTCAAACAGAGCATCAGAATGGGGTATAAAGGGAATTTAAGCGACTTTGAATGTGACATGGTTGTCAGTGCCAGATGGGATGGTTTGAGTATTTAAAAAACTGCTGGTCTACTGGGATTTTCACACGCAACCATCTCTAGGATTTACAGAGAACAGTCAGAAAAAGAGAAAATATTCAGTGAGTGGCTGTTGTGTAGATGAAAATGCCTTGTGGATGTCAGAGGTCAGAGGAGAATAGGCAGACTGGTTTGAGATGATAGAAAGCCAACAGTAATTTAAGTCAATATGGACCAAAATCTCTGAGGAATGTTTCCAACACCTTGTTGAATCTATGCCATGAAGAAATAAGGCAGTTCTGAAGGCAAAAGGGGGTCCAACCCGTTACTAGCAAGGTGTACCTAATAAAGTGGCCGCTAAGTGTACAAATATCTAATCTTAATTCAGTAAACTACAACTCATGATTTTTTGGGGGTTTTTTTGCCATAATGACCATTATTATAATGATGTAACTGTTTTTTTAATTTCCTTAGCTGTCACCAATGAAAATAATAGTTACAGCAAATAAAAATCATATCCTAAAGCTGAACTCTAGACATAATAAAGACAAAAATTAATGCAACTCTGTAATCATTATTATATTAAATAGTTTTTTTCAAGCAAGTAACGTAAGTACCTGAATGTGACCTGATATTAACCTTTTCCAGTCCCTGTACAGCAGGGCTGGAGAGTGAAAGGAGGTTAAAAAAAAAAAAAAAAAAGAAATGAAAATCTGTCCATGTGCTGACAAGAAACATGCTTACAGAGAGAGCGGAGTGACATGGAAATGAGCTCTGTACCGCTTCTCCTTTCACTGTCCAGTCAAAGGCTGGGGCAGGTCTAGAACAACTGGGCCTCAGAATAGGTGGGTTTAATAACGCCAGCAGGAAATTACACTTCAGGGGAAATTACTACATTAAATTTTAATAGACAGTTCAGTGTCACACTGGGGTGAATAAGCTGTGTGTGTGTGTGTGTGTGTGTGTGTATATATATATATATATATATATATATATATATATATTTTACATTAATTACACACACCAATATACACTATATTGGCAAAAGTATTGGGACGCCTACATTTACACGCACATGAACTTTAATGGCATCCCAGTCTTAGTATGTAGGGTTCAATATTGAGTTGGCTCACCCTTTGCAGCTATAAAAAGCTTCAGCTCTTCTGGGAAGGCTGTCCACAAGGTTTAGGAGTGTGTCTATGGGAATGTTTGACCATTCTTCCAGAAGCGCATTTGTGAGGTCAGGCACTGATGTCGGATGAGAAGGCCTGGCTCACAGTCTCCGCTCTAATTCATCCCAAAGGTGTTCTGTCGGGTTGAGGTGAAGATTCTATGCAGGCCAGTCAATTTCCTCCACCCCAAACTTATTCGCTTTGTCCACTGGTGAGCAGTCATGTTGGAACAGGAAGGGGCCATCGCCAACTGTTCCCACAAAGTTGGGAGCATGAAATTGTCAAAAATGTCTATGCTATGACGCCTTAAGAGTTCCCTTCGCTGGAACTAAGGGGCCAAGGCCAACTCCTGAAAAACAACCCCACACCATAATCCCCCTTCACCAAACTCTACACTTGGCAAAATGCAGTCAAGCAAGTATCGTTCTCCTGACAAAAGCCAAACCCAGACACGTTCACTGGATTGCCAGACAGAGAAGCATGATAGGTCACTCCAGAGAACACGTCTCCACTGCTCTAGAGCCCAGTAGCGGTGTGCTTCACACCACTGCATCCAACGCTTTGCATTGCACTTGGTGACGTAAGGCTTGGATGCAGCTGCTCGGCCATGGAAACCCATTCCATGAAACTCTCTTCGCACTGTTGTTGTGCTAATATGAAGGCGACACAAAGTTTTGAGGTCTTTAGCTTTTGACTCTGCAGATAGTTGGCGACTTCTGCGGACTGTGCATTCAGCATTCTCTGACCCCGTCATTTTTTGTGGCCTAACACTTTGTGGTTGAGTTGTCTCCTCTTGGAACACCTGAATCCAGTGATTTGGAGCGGTGTCCCAATCCTTTTAGCAAAATAGTGTATGTATGTGTGTCTGTATGTATAGTTAAATAGTCCCATAAAGAGACATGCCACTCCAGAATACTTAATATCTACATTTTTTATCCAAGTTTCACGGTACATAAGTCACCCTGATGAAGCCACGTGACAGTGATGTAACGCGTAGGTCGGAGAGCGTAATGTGGTGATGTCATTTCTGACACAAACGGCCGAAGCCATATTGGTACACCCAGTACACCCATACCAACACATGTGATTGATGCCTTGTTTGATCTGTTCCCATGTAAGTGCGCATTTGTCTTTACAATAACTTTGATTCATTTACAATATTACAATATGGAAGCACTTTTTCTTGTCTCCCTGGGAGTGCTGTGAGCTGGCTGTTTTTTTCTGGTCCAATGAATCCCTGGCAGGAGTTCTGTGCGCAGTTCCGTGTCCAAAGCTGAAAGATATATTACCACCTCTGAACAGTATGGTCCACCAGTGAGGGAGATATCATCCCTACATCACCGTTTGGGATTCCACTTAATGGGCCCCTGCAGTGAGTGTCCTGAAAGCCTTTTGGCCCCTTGGGGTCTGGGAACGGAGGTGAGGAGGCAATTTAGCCGTTGTGAGATTCAACAATCATTTACCTATTCACGTTGTGATTTTTTTTTTTATGCGTTTTTGTTGGACGTTTTTGTACATAGACTTTATGTCGTATTTACAATTTTTTTAGTCACGTTATTTATTTCTTCATTGTGTTATTGTATTTTACGGTGCACAGTAATACATGCATTTGGTTTCACTGTGCGTTTATATCACCATTTTCTGTTTTATACTAGTTGCACTCTATATATGTTTGCCACATTTATTTATGGTGTTTATATGGTCACTTATTAGTCCTTTTATGCCACATGGCCTTTTGATGCACATTGTGTTACGACCGTTTAGTCGCATGGTCACAATTTTTGGCCTCACTGTGCGTTGTTATTGTCATTCTTCTGTGATAAGTGGTTTGTCCACTTTTAATATTAAGCACATCATTTTGTATTTTTCACATTTTGCTCTACTCTCTCATCAGTTGTATTCATGTTATTTCATTTATGTTGTGACGGACTCATATGTCCCACTATTACTGTGATTTAGTTCATATTTTATTCTCTCTCTGATCATTTCCATGGCATTTTGCCAACGGTCACGATTTATTGTCTGTTATACCTTTTGGTCCTCATTTTGGACCTTTATTATTTCACCTTTCCCTTCATATATTCCTTTTATTTACTGATTATGTTATGGTGTATTATCCAATGTCTTTCTCATCTCATTATTTGTTTTGGAATGTCTGTGGCATTATTGTGATTAAGGCAACATCAATTTTCTGTTTGTTGTTCTTTGCTAGTGGTATAGCCAGGTGTGTGCTGCTGTCCCAATAGTCCTATCTTTTCTAGTAGCAGCGCGAAAAGTTTACATATTTTTTACAATGTAAAAAGGTAAGTATTATACTGACAAAATGATAAAAAGGGCACAAATTCATCTCATGAGTACAGCAAAAACAGATTGCAAAACATCAAGTAGTAAAGAAACGATGGAACATCCCCAGGCTGAACGTTTCAAGGATTTATCCTCTTCCTCAGAGCCTATTCCAATATATATTTAATGTAAAAAGGTAAGTATTAGGATAGGCTCTGAGGAAGAGGATAAATCCTCGAAAATGTGTCAACTGTGGATGTTCCATCTTTTCTTTACTTCTTGATGTTTTGCGATCTGTTTGTGCTGTACTCATGAGATGAATTTGTACCTTTTGTCATTTTGTCAGTATGATACTTACATTTTTAAATTAAATATATATTTTTAAAGGATAATGCACTAGGCCAGTGCGTCCTCTGTTTGTTTATCGTTACTGCAGATCTATTTTTGCTGCAGGAGGATCTGTTCTTTAAGAGTGGGTTGTGCTCCAGTGAGGTTCCTATTCTCTCTGCCCTACCCATACACCCCAGGAAAGGATGTATAATCATTTGGACTCTAGCCTGCCTACCCCCTCTCTTTCCTTTTTCTCTGGTCCCTCCCTCCGTATTTAGTTCCCCCTTGCTATCCTCCATTATTTCTCTACTCTCCCCTGGCCTTTCTGCAGGGTTTACTCCTCATTTCCCCTATCCCCCCCTTCCTTGTTTTTATTGCTACCAGTATTTTTTCTACATGTGATTTTTTTTTTTTTTTTTTTTTTTTTTTTTTTTTTTTTTAATGTGGGTTGGCAACCTCACTCATGCTGTTTTTTATAACCTCACAGTCCATTAGCAAGTCTCAATTGTCCTAGGTTTGCCATAACCCTCCTCACCACAGGATGATTCTCATTTACTGCAATATGACTTGGTCATGTCTTGACTTATGATCTGTTTAATCTGGCACAATATGTTTTTTATCTGTTGAGCATTTCCGTGGCTCTGACAACCCCTATTATTACTTGTTTTAATGTACAATGTGATGCTTTGACATTTGCACTGTTATTCTCCGTACTTAAGTTGACATCCTACTCGTTCTTTTATTGTATGTCATTTGTACAAATAAAAGAATTACAAAAAAAAAGAAAAGAAAAGTGGGTTGTGCTGGGAGGTGGGTAGAGGCAGAGACAAGGGGTGGGTTGTGCTGGGAGGTGGGTAGAGGCAGAGACAAGGGGCAGATACAAGGGGCAGTGCTTGGAGTTGGGTAGGGTGGGGGCAAAGGTGATCTCCGCTTATTCTCAGAGAAAGAAAAAGTCTCTATTCAGACTAAATACAAATAATGCTGGTGCCACTGTATGCAAGCAAAAATAATCTTTAAAACTCAAATATGAGGAAAGCATAATCCAAATCACCTATTTTGACTTTTTAGGTTCACTTACCTTGGCATTTTAGGCCTTGTCTCACCAAGCCAAACAACATTTCTCCACAGTAGTCACAAAAGGCTGGAGATTTATAGGAGTGGACCAAGAGGATGTGAGGCCGAATAGAGAAGTCAAGGGATACAGAAGCTGAAAAAGCAGTGATAAAGGCAATTAAGAAATTGTTTATGTCCTTTGACCTCAGGAAAAAAAGAGTTTAAAAGTAAGTACACATTGATTCCTACCTCTCCATATATATTTTACAGGAAGGTCTCAGAATCCATGACCCCATTTACTGCTGTTTATAGTGCTCAGTACACTTAGTATGACTAGTCATATGCTATTCTGTTTATTGTACATTTTATTGTGCTATACCAGATCACCAAGCAGTGCTGCAGATACATTGCAAAAGTCAGATAATACTTACTCTGCAGCACTGATTGCTGGTGAAATCTGGTATAGCAATTTAGAGATGCCTTATTATACAGTAAATCAGATTATACTTACTCTGGGTTCAGCAAAACATCAGGAAACAAGTCAAGTAAGGGAAATCTTATAGGCAGGAATGAGAAATTTCAATATGTATTCAAAATTCTTTGATATATCCTGAAGCAAGTCAGTCTTGAAGTCATATCTGGCTTAAAACCAGATCTTTCAGGATTTCAGGTAGAGAAGGAAGGACATCACAGGAGGATGATGTGTGTTAAGTACCTATTCATATTCAAGGTGCACATTTCTTAGTAGGTCTGTCAAGTGTCTTTGAGTTAAATATAACCCCTTTTCAATATAAATGTATATAGTGGGTTTAGGGTCATTTTATAATATTCTTGTTAGAAATTTGTCAACATTAAATGTAAAACTACTTTGAAAATTATAACACACAGCCCTTAATTAAATAAAGTCTAGAAATTTCAGTGTAGCACTACACCCTTAGGAGTCGCTAAGTTTTTGGATCCCCCTACAGTTCTGCACAGCCAGGCAACATGCGTCTTCTTTCTCCACGCTTGCACACTGAGACAGTAACCAGTCCGCAGGCTTGTTTTTGTGATTTTATTAATTCATTTTGAACTTGAATGGGTTTGAGGGATGCATGGGATGCCCAGGAAACAGTGAACTGTGAGGACAATCTATGTACAAGTTTATGGACAAAAAGCAAAATCTGTCTTCTTTGAGAGCACTCCAGCTCTCCAGTGTACTTCGTCAAACCCCAGATTAATCCTCCTCTTCACCCAACAGTACTGAGGGTATTCCCTAGGCAAGAGGATCCAGAAGCTGCCAAAGATTAAACAGTCCCGGCAGAGGAGCTAGTTGGGTTCTCCACCTGACTGCCCTCTCCCCTTATCCAGCCCAATGGGTGTAAGGTTACTCACACTGTCCTTCCTGATAGCATTATGGGTTGGTGGCTGCCTTCAGGCCTTCTGCTATGCTGGCTCCTTCCCTGTTGTTCATGCTGTCTCTCTTAGCTGATGGTGGTACAGTGGAGGTCCCCTCTTCCACAACCGGCCTGTAGGTAGGCCCCTTCCCTGGGCCCCCTCCCAGGTTCCACACTCCAGCCCCCTACTCCATCTTCCACTCAACACACACTGCCCACTTCCTGATGATCCGGCTCAATTATATGTGAGGACTGTTCTGACCCTATGCCAAGCCTCCAGATCCTTCAGACATGCAGATTAGCCTCTCCTCACCCCTACCCACTGCCTTCTAGAAACTTCTCAAGTTTCTAGGGCAGGGTGAGGTATCAGGGACCTGACCTAAAGAGCCCTCAGCCCTGATCTAGAGTAGCCTGGTTGACTAATCCCAGGCTGCTATTCAGCCTCTTTCTAAAAAATTCTAGCTAACTCCCCTTGGCTACCTATATGGGTGCTACATCAGTATGTGAATTCACTTCTCATTTTCCAATCATAATTATTCTCACTCCTTCCGACCTTAAAATACTTTAAAGATCTTTTAAACCCCAACAACGAACTGGCCTTATGTTCTCCTTTTTGTTCTAGTAATATATACTGTATACGGTGAGAAGATGCGGTTTCTTCTTCTGACCCATTCGTCACAACACAAAAAAAGCAAGGGATTGTAAGCTGAAGCCACAGCACCAGTAGTGAATAAGCAACACAGTCTTATGCAGGCTGCAGCACTGAAATGAAGAGATGGTAGGAGACAAGCCGTGGCAGTAGGGGAGTATAATACCTTTACTATTATGCCTTATTCACACAGACTTACTAAGCTTGCAACCATGCAGAGGGCCCTGTTTGCCCGAATGGGATGCACAGGTGTTCCTGTTGAAGCCAATTGGGATGCAGTGGCTGCAGGGATACAGCTGCTGCTCTCAATATCACATCTGTGTGAGTGCAGGTATACATCCTTGAAGGCAGACAGTGTGCGTTCGGAGACACACACCCACATGGATGTCAACTTGTAAGCAACAGCTGTATCCCTGCAGCCACTGCTTCCCAAATGACATGAAAGGCACTGCCTGCACACAGATGCACAAAAACACCTGAACATCCCGTGTAGGCAAACACAACCATGGCACGGGTGTACACTAAAGTACACCGATGTGAACAAGGACTTGCAGTCATTTTTCTAAGACCTGACAGGGTTACTTTAAGTTCATATTTGTACTTAGAGCTATAAGGACTTGCATCACTGACCTAATTCTAATTTTACGGTTACTAGTTAACTGTCTGTCCTAGGCTTCAATCATTTCTGAGTTACTAACTTAATAAAAAAAACATGCAGATTGGAAAGAGGAAAGTCTGAGTTCATATCAACATACTTGCCTCAGGTTAGAAAGTATTAAAACAAACGGATTAGCATGACAGTCAGGCATCTTGGTTTTTCAAACAATAGCTTTCCATTGTTCTTTTACTACATCTTTCCTTCAAAACCGATAAAGTTTTACATAAATGTTCAACTATATTGTATACCACACACCTGTTCTTCACTTTCCAAGCTGCTCGGGATGGGCTATAAAAACTATTTGGGCTGTGTTGCAAATTTATACCAACGATACCACTTAATGTTTTTGTTAAACAGAAATATGAATTGAAGCTGATAGGACATGGAGATTCTCACCTGGCAAAACAACTTCAATTAGGTCCCCTTCGGTAACAGGGTTGACAGGTAGAAGACGCTCAAGGACATTTTCTGAGTTAAGATTGTGCCGAAAGAGTTGGATCTTTTCAGAAACACCCAAGAATCCATATTCAGGATACTAGCAAACATGAATAAAACTGTATTTAGTTTACAATTGGAGAACAAGAAAATAAACAAAGATTATTCACATATGAGTATACTGACAGATCAGAAACAATTTTTTTTTTTATTCCATGCCTGTTTGCACAGTTCAGACCTGAGAGTTACCTATTTAATCTATCATTTCATTAAATAAAATAATGCAGGAGATTGCCTTAAAGTTTAAATAAAGGCTCCTGTACCAAATCCAGTTACGAAGTGATGTACAAGCATCATAAAATGCAACAAGTCTCCTATACCTTTCCTGACTTGGTCAAATCCTCCCCTATCTAGACACTGTAGTTCACAGTGTTTCATTTTACTGTAGTGCAGAGGTCTCCAAACTTTTCAAACAAAGGGCCAGGATACTATCCTCCAGACTTTAGGACAAAGGAAAAAGTACGGCCCCATTGCTGGTCTCAGTGGGAGGAATAGTGCCGCAAGGGCCGGAAAAAGGGTAGCAAAGTGCCACATCTGGCCCTCAGGCCGCATTTTGGAGACCCCTGCTGTAGTGCATAGGTATAGCTTCTGTGGAAGTGGCAACTCCGCTCTGAATTCAGTAGCAGTGCAGCATTGTTGCCATATTATCACCAAAAGCTGCATTTAGGTAGATTTCACTGGCAGGTCAGGCAGATTAACAGGTGTTTGGGAGACTTTGCAAGGGGACCAAGAGAAAACTAAAAGTAAATACACTTGTATTTAAAGCAGAGTTCCACCTAAAAAAAATAAAAGTCAGCAGCTACAAAAACTGTAGCTGCTGACTTTTAAAATACAGCCACTTACCTGTCCCTCGGTCCCGCGGTCTCTTCACCACCATTAATAAAATCAAAAACCACTCTCTTAATAAATAAATCCAATTCCCCACAGCACCATCAACGCCTTCACCCCAAAAGATGTACAAAAATCCAGAGACAGAAGATGCTATACAATAAATCCTCAAAGAAACTATGTGCAGTCCAAATCCTATAAGTCCAATCTTTAAATCAAATTCTTCTCGTGTTCAAAAAAAATTCCTCCGATAATATACCTCAAAAAGAAAAAAATATTCACATAGTGCATTATCTTTTTTTTTAAATAGCTAAATAACTAAATAATAGTGACTTTATTCAAGTGAATACCCAATCACATTAATAATCCGTGAAAAAGTGAACAAAGTGAAAAAAACTGTGAAGCCAAAACAATAAAAACCCTGTGAATGTGAATCACTCTTCAGTGCTCTATTTCAACCAGCACTGTGACACTTCTAAGTGTAGTAAGGAATGCATACTCTTACCAATATTCAGAAAAAACAGACGCTTTTTTTTATATCTTTCCAAAGGGAAGATGGGAGACAGTCCTCCTATTGGTCTTTACCCAATCTAGTCTGCCTTCATATTAGCATCAGGATCCACCAGCCTTGAGACTCCATATATCCATATCAGGCATATTCCATTTAAATATTAATATATAGGAAACACAATAATGTAATACCGCCAGAATCAATCTTAAAAACAACTTTAATCAGGGTGCTCACATTTTAACAGCATAAAAACGCTTTAAAAGGTACTCAGAAGTGGTTTACTGTAATCCAGGAAGTGCCCAGGGGAAATCAGACGATCGTTTCCCTCATCCAAGATGGCCGCCGGTCAACTTCCGGTTCTCGTGTGCGCGTTGACGTCACTTCCCCTTGACGCGTTTCGTCATCGACTTAATCAGATATGATTAAGTCGATGACAAAACGCGTCAAGGGGAAGTGACGTCAACGCGCACACGAGAACCGGAAGTTGACCGGCGGCCATCTTGGATGAGGGAAACGATCGTCTGATTTCCCCTGGGCACTTCCTGGATTACAGTAAACCACTTCTGAGTACCTTTTAAAGCGTTTTTATGCTGTTAAAATGTGAGCATCCTGATTAAAGTTGTTTTTAAGATTGATTCTGGCGGTATTACACTATTGTGTTTCCTATATATTTATATTTATATGGAATATGCCTGATATGAATATATGGAGTCTCAAGGCTGGTGGATCCTGATGCTAATATGAAGGCAGACTAGATTTTGTAAAGACCAATAGGAGGACTGTCTCCCATCTTCCCTTTGGAAAGATATAAAAAAAAAGCGTCTGTTTTTTCTGAATATTGGTAAGGGTATGCATTCCTTACTACACTTAGAAGTGTCACAGTGCTGGTTGAAATAGAGCACTGAAGAGTGATTCACATTCACGAGGGTTTTTATTGTTTTGGCTTCACAGTTTTTTTTCACTTTGTTCACTTTTTTCACGGATTATTAATGTGATTGGGTATTCACTTGACTAAAGTCACTATTATTTAGTTATTTAGCTATTTAAAAAAAAAGATAATTCACTATGTGAATATTTTTTCTTTTTGAGGTATATTATTGGAGGAATTTTTTTGAACACGAGAAGAATTTGATTTAAAGATTGGACTTATAGGGTTTGGACTGCACATAGTTTCTTTGAGGATTTATTGTATAGCATCTTCTGTCTGTGGATCTTCACCACCATTGATATCACCAGCCGTCTTCTCTCCCTGGCTCTGGCATATTCAGTGTGGGCACCTGGCTATGACAGTTTGCGGATTCACAGCCGAGTGCCCACTGCGCATGCGCAAGAAGTGCTGCACTTTGTGAATGGCCCTGCAGTTTTCTGGGACCCGTCAAGTGTCCCAGAAGACTACAGGGAGGGGGGGTTTGGAGGACAACTTCCTCTTCTGATCACCTAGGCGACTGCAGCGGAAGTGGGAACCTGTCAAATTCGGTACCTGCTCCCCCAAGGTGCCAATCCTTAATGGGGAGCAGGGGACAAAAGCTTAAAGTAGAACTTCCCTGCTTTAAGTGCAGCAGTACATATATTTTTTTGAGTGTCAAAAATTCCTCCTGAACATTGTGCAGGTCTGATCCAGAGCTACCCAAAGTACTTGCTTGCCACGGGATGCTAGACCAGCCATTAACTCCAAGGGTTCACTTACAATGAAAGGACATAGTTCCACTTTGTGTTCCACTTTTTATAGCCAAATTCAAGAAGAATGTTACAACAAAGGCACTTTCTATTTACAGTGATACAGTTAGATTTGGTAAGGAGGCTGGCTGGTTGTCTCAGTTTTGGGTGCACATTGCAGGACTCATTTTCACTCATTTAAGATTTTTAGGGATTGCAAAGATACAAACCCCCCCCCCCCCCCACACACACACATTTTTAGCACAGTAAGAAATGGTTAGAACTATTGCTGTTCATTCCTTCTAGCCTCATGATGCCTGCATCCTAGATATATTGTAGGGAAGTCACAAGGTCAGGAAGTGTGGGAAGATCTCTTGAAAAGTAATACAGTCAGAAATTGTAACTTTTTTTTTCAGTTGTAGAGTTTTTTAGTTTTAGTTTGGTTAGAGTTAGGCCTCTTTCATATGATGGCTTACATGCAGCCAGCAGATTCCAGTGGCATGATTCATTCATGCGGCTGAACTGACATATATGCGGCATGTAGGTGCACACAGAGCAGTTACTTGTGGTTAGGGACGATTGTCTGGGTCTGGACACAGCTGACTGCATCCAGGTTGGCGCCGTCAGCCTGCCATTAGCTTAAATAGGCTGAGTGACCATCGCTATACGCATGCCCTATTCATTCCAACCTCAAGAATCTGCTGATTCTTGCGGGTGGAATCTGGTGGCTGCACACTGTAAATAGCCGTGTGAATGTGGCCTAGGCTTCAACTCAATCCAGCAGAAGTGGGTGACCAGCAGGGTCCAAACTGTAAAAAAAGGCCTCAGAGTTTGATTCCTCTTTCTTGTATAATATTCTTACTACATTACTTACCTATGTACAGTATGCACCCAACTGATGGAATTATACAGAAATACTCTTGTTTTACATGGCATACATGGAACCTTATGGCCAGAAAGCACAGTAAAGGCCATTACATGCAAAAAACTGATATGGAGCCCTGACTGACTTTATTTCAAGGTATAAAGCATGAGATACCCAAGTATCATCAGTTGGTCAGAGCCAAGAAAAGCCAAATCTTCTACATTTACTTTGTACATGTCCAGTCCTTTGGACAAGTCTAGCATGATAAGTGGCAAAAGGGTAAAAAAAAAATCTGAATAGGTGTACTGAACTGCAAAAACATGTTCCTTTCATGCAGTTGTCATAAATCTGCTTCTAGGTATACAGACTCAATTTTCTATAAATTGATCTATTCCCATCACTCATCATCTGGTCAATAACATAACCAGTTAGTCATTTTCAGATATGGGCTTTAGGGTTTAAAATGTAAAGAAAAACATATGTAATATAATAGGAATATCCAATAAATGGAGGAAAATCAAAAAGGACAAAAAGGAAACTCTTTAATTGCCACTAGATGGCAGTATAATACCCTATAACTGCTGTATGATGTGAGAGTCAAATACAGTATACTCTACTATGGTGACAACTGGCTAAACCAGCATTTGTCTTTGGTGACAACTGGCTAAACCAGCATTTGTCTTTTGGTACAGACGGTAGAAAAAAGTATTAGTATTAGTAAAAGTATTAGAACAAATGACACAAAATGTACATGGTGTATTCATTTTCATAATCTCAATAAATGAAAAGGCAGAAAAGGCGTATGGAAACATAAGGACACCCCCACATTACTACAAGCCATGAAATTAGAACCAGGTGTTCCAGGTTAGGTGCCAATGAACAGAACTACCTTAGGGAATAAGCAGGTGGACCCTGTCTTATTTAAAGTGTTACTAAACCCACAACAGTAAAATCTGTCTGTATATGCAGTAAAGCAGGCTTGTTATATTCACTGTGGAACCTAAGGTGTTATTCCTCCCCATTGTGTAAAAAGGCCGTTTGAACCTGTTTTCTCTGCCCCTCCTCTTGTTCAAATGTCCATGTCTTATCTCCTGATAAGACAGACTGAACCAGTGACCACATGCACATGCTCAGTTTAGTGAGTATTGCTAAAGAGTTTTTTTTCTTCTTGGGAGAC